ATTTGGTGTCTGGTTTTTTTTGTTTTGTTTCATTTTGTTTTCAAAGAGCATGAATGATAGGATAAGAAGAAACTGAAACACCTTATCAATCCTGTGAGGCGTATCATAAGTGACCCTCAAAAGTTAACCAGTCTCAGCCGGGCATGATCTCAGCCAGGCGCAATCTCAGCCGGGTGCAATCTCAGCCGGGTGCAATCTCAGCCGAGCGTAATCTCAGCTGGGTGAGGTGGCTCAATCCTGTAAATGCCAGCACTTTGGGCGGCCAAGGCGGGCAGAACACCTGAGGTCAGGAGTTCAAGATCAGCCTGACCAACATGGTGAAACCCCATCTCTACCAAAAACACAAAAAAATTAGCCAGGTGTGGTGGTGCACACCTGTGGTCCCAGTGACTCAGAAGGCTAAGACAGGAGAGAATTGCTTGAACCCAGGCTGTGGAGGTTGCAGTGAGCTCAGATCTCACCACTGCACTCCAGCCTGAGTGACAGAGCAAGATCCTTTTCTCAATTAAAAAAAAGTTAACCAATCTCATTGTTTGGAGATCTATTTATTTCCTTAAGAAAAAAAGAGCTGACAACTGAGCACCAAGCCAATCATTGAATAAAGCATTATGGATAAGCTGCCCATGCCATGCCACTCCTGGTGCTATGCCACATGCCTCTACCTACACAAACTCCTCCCAAGCAGCATCTGAGAAAACAAGTCATTTTTACTTTTCATAACATTCTTATCCTTAGAAATTGGAGGCAATTAGGTACTTAGAGGGACTTTCCCTAAAAATAAATAGCATAAATAATGGCAGGGATGAAAAGGTAACTGTAACTGTGCAAAATCAATGCAAGTTTATGGGAGCAGCACAGATGTAACAATAGAACTCACATGTGTACTATGCTTATTTCCAGCCAGGCACTTTGCTAAGCGCTTTCTGTAATCTAATTCTCGATTTCCCATGGTAACCTCAAGGGCTAGGTACTATCATTGTCCCCATTTTATCAATGAGACAACAATGATACCAGAAAGTTAAGTAACTTGCCCAAGGTCACACAGCAAGAAATTAGCAAAGCCAGCATTTGATCCCAGACCCACTGGCTCTAAAGTCCACCACACTAGCGCGTGCCAACAGCCAGCCACCCATTCAAGACTTTGCTACATTCCACACCTGTGTTCTGCACTGGAGATAGAATGATGCATTTCACACAGCTGAGGAAAGAGAAAAGCAGACTGAGGGCAGTGCCTCAACAGGGACATCCGACCTCAGTGGGAACTGGAAGAGATGATGTCCATGCTAACTCTTGGGCATGTAGCAGATAACCAGGCAGGAGGGCAGACAGGGGCAAGGAGCAGAAACTCCATTCAGGCAGAGGGTACATAATGCACAGTTTCAAGGCAGGAAAGAACGTGGCTCCCTCAAGGAACAGTAAATAGTTTAATTCAGCTGGCATAGTGGGACCACGGGGAACAAAGGGTGGGGACACCCAGCAATGCCGAGCCAAGGCCAGAGAGAAAGGAGGCAGAAATAGCATCATAAAGGGCCTTGTGGGCTGCCTAAGCAGGGGAGATGTACCTGAAATTCTGCAATAAACAACTAAGGAATTTTACACAAAGAAATGAAATGATCAGATCTTGTCCCCAGCTCACTGGCTATTACAAAGAGACAAGGTGGCAGAGGACAGAGAAATGAAACAGGGAGACTAGCCAGGAGCTGTGACTGTATATCAAAGCTGTACTAAGAGGCTGGGTGCTGGAATCACGAATCCCTGCAACCAGAGCAATGAGAAACTTCTTAAACCCAGGTGATGGAGAGGAGCAGATTTGGGGCCACACAGCAGCACTGTGCTCCAGCTCTTCCCAGTGGCCTCCCAGGGGCTAGTGTCCTGACGTTATGTCCTAGCAACTTGAAAAAGGCCAGAAACAGCACCTTCACCTTCTCTCTAGGGAAGAAACACACACCTGTTCTTTTCCAAGTCCCTTGCCACCCAAACAATTCTTAAAATCCTGATGTTAATCACTTTGAAAGCATTTCCTTTTACTTATTAAAATGGGCTTGCATTTCAGCCAGAGAGGTTTAGACGGTAACTGGTTTCTGTAAGCCCGAAAGTATTTCTGAAGGATTATGATTCAACATGAAATGCACATTCTTGACCTTATTATCTCCAGCTTTCCTGGATCTGGCCAAAGGCCCTCAGAAAAGGCTTTTTAAACAAAGATCCTGGTGTGAACTGCTGATGGACTTTGCTCCTTTATTTTTCATTGTTGTAAATAATTCCTGTTTAAATTCAAAACTTCCTTCTGTGTCTCTACAGATTCCTTCACAGAAGCCTTGCTCTCTTCCCAGGTAAATTGAGGTTAAAAACATGACATAGAAGCAGATGATGCTCAAGCCACCAATATCATGTATTCTTCCAAATTAAATGTTAAAGGTTCAAAAAACATTACGTCAATAAAGTTCCACTTTTTTTCCACTTTTCCCCCTAAACATGAATTGTTGATTCTACCAAAATGGGACACCTTTTGGAGTTGAAGACATTGACCAGCTCTGGACCTCTGAGATTGCGTCTGGAAGGCATCTCCCACATTGAACTTACCTGTTTGCATTTTTTGGCTTCAGGTATTAAAGCTTCCTTTGTCGGAAATCTCTTTGAACACCAGCTTTTTTTTTTTTTTTTTTTTTT